CCAATAAGGTTATACTAAGTCTCCCATTAATATAATATAATATAATAAATAATCCACTAATATAAATAATAATAAATATCAATGATATTTTAATATAAATATCATCAAACAAAATATAAATAAAATATAAATAAAATAAAAAATAAAAAAATAAAAATAGCATGCATCGTGAATGCACAAAAATAAAAATAGGTCCGCAGTAATTTATGAGGAGGGTCGATGAAATATTATACTCTCCCCTTCTTGAAAAAATCAACGTCCTCGTTGATTAAATTTCTTGATGGCATCACTAGCGTTAGTTAGATTTTCTACAGGTTCCCAAGTGGCATCATATATTGGATATCTAGTCCATTTAATTAGATAATGTCATTTATTTCTAACAAGTTTGATATCAAGTACTTGTTCTATTTCAAATTCTGGTTCGTTATCCTTGATAACTTCAGGTGGTGGTGATGTTGGTTTGGAGAAGTCATTATTATTACTTTTGTAAGGTTTCAACACAGAAATATGAAATCCAGGATGTATTTTTAAGTTAGGGGGTAATTTCACTTTATAGGCAGTTATAGAAATTACTTGTTCAATAGTATATGGTCCAATATATTTGGGTGATAGTTTTCGAGTTGGTCTATTAACTTGTGTAGGATCATTAATGTTTTTGGCATTAATTAACACTTTATCATTAACTTGAAATTGTACGTCTCTTCGATATTGGTCAGCATTTTACTTTTGTCTTTTTTGTGCCAAACGAAGGTTATCTTTAACAATTTGTACAGTATTATTTTATTTTAATAACATGTCATCGGTTGCGGTGACATTAGTAGGATTATTATCAGTAAAGGTTAGGGGTATATTAGGGTTTTGTTGTTTTGATGCTTTCAATGAAGTAAAATATCAATTGGTGTCTCATTCAAGGCAGATTGATTATTAGTCAAAGTGAATTGAAGAAAATCAAGATGGTATACTCCACCTCAACTCTCGAACGCAACGGTTATATATACCTAATTCCAATAAGACGTGGCATAAACAGAGGTCATTGACTTGTAGTGCTTTACATGTCTAAGAAAGGAAAAGCGGTACATCCGAGATAAATTACCAAAGAAAGCGACATACTATTATTTTAACAAGGAAAAAAGCGAAAAGCATGGTGACTTCAAGTTTTAAAACACCAATAGTTTCATAGACTTTTCTTTTTAATTAAGTACAAACGTTTGATTCGTTAAAAAGCAGAAAATTGACTGAAACATTTATAAATTTTATCGACTCCTTCTTTAATGAGGAGACAAATCGGTTTGCAAACCAAAATTAGTTAATATAAATTAATTAAACATTAATTTCGGTATAATCCAAATGCGATAAATTTTAATTAAACTTAAACTATTAATAGAGTTTTAATTAAAAATATAACCCAAAATTAGTAAGTTTTAATTAAAACATAAATTATTAATTAAGTGTGGAAAAATATTTAAATTAAATATTTTCAAAATAGGTCAACAAGTTTGGAACCTTAATTATCCGGATGATCCAGGTTGGAAAAACAATTTTCCGAAAAAAGAAATTCCGCAGTAGTTGATCTACATTAACATGTGAGCTATGATGATCAATTTATCACATGATGATCGATATCGGCATGATTTACACGTGATTATAACTCGTGAGACTAACATATGACGTGATTTGATTGGTGCATGTGTTTATAGATCAGCAACCTAAATTTTCTAGGGTTTTAGTCGATCTCAAAAATGTGACCATCCCTAAAAGGATAAATTAAATTCGCTTTGGGCAAATTTCTTTTTTGAGCGATTCCTTTATGGAAATTCTGCAGAATTTTCTTTTTGGGTGTGTCCTATTACTGGCAGATCGCCATTTTGACATTTTCATAGATAAAATTTCCCAATTCCCTTATTAGGGTTAGGGTTACTATAAAAGGAAAGACCATACCTAAAAACAGTAATCCTACTTCCTAAAGAGGTAACATGGTTACCAGATTAGGAAATTTAAGGTTAGGGTTTTAGAGTTAGGGTTAAAAAATGAATTTTATACTTTTGTTGGAATAGAAGTATCAATCGGCGTCTCGCTCGAGGCAGATTGAATTAACAATACGGTTCTCTTAAGAAGAAAGATGAAGTCAAATACTCCACCATCTCCCGAACTCGACTCTTTTTTATACCTTTTCGCAATCTAAAAGAAAACGTTTTTTTGCGGTATACCTGAGATACTTTATCAACAAAAGCGACATACAAAAATAGCAACAACAAAAACGTATTGGTGACTCAAATAGTTTTCAAC